TGCGCGTGTGTGTGCGTGTGTATGTATATGTGTATGTACGTGTGTGTGTGTGTTATGTATCTATGCATGTGTGTGTATGTGCGTGCGTGCGTGCTTAGGGGGTCCGTTTAAGTTCGTCGGGGTGCTGCTTCCGCTCTCCCGCGCGAGAAGGGCAGATCGGGCCTCAGGTGGCGTTTGCAGGTGAGGGGCAGGCTTGGCTTGTTTAGGGAGGATGGATGGTGGATCATAGCCTGTGTTTTGCCGTTATTATTGTTATTGTTATTATTATTATTATCATTATTATTATTATCATTATTATCTTTAATTTTGTTTTTATTGTTGTTCTTATAATTATTGTGATTGTTATTATAATTCTTGTTATTATTATTATTATTATATTTACTATTATTTTTATTATTGTTATTATTATTATTATTATTATTATTATTACTGTTGTTAATATTATTGATTTTATTTTAGTATTATTCTTTAACGTTGAGGGATCGTATTATCATTATTGCATTATTATTATTTTTATTGTTGTTGTTATGGTTATTATTATTATTATTATTATTAATGTTATTATTATTGTTGTTATTGTTATTATTATTATTGTTATTATTATTATTATTATTATTATTATTATTATTATTATTGTTATTATTATTGTTATTGATATTATTATTATTGTTATTATTATTATTGTTGTTGTTATTATTATTGTTGTTGTTATTATTATTGTTATTATTATTGTTATTATTATTATTATTGTCCTTATTATCACTTTGATACTTGTTTCTCAGTAATTTTTATTGGTTATTACTATTATTATTATTATTGTTATTATTATTATTATTATTATTATTATTATTATTAAATGGAAGAATTTCAATTTGATATTTTGCAAGTTTTGTATCCTGTACTCTGTGACATAGTTATCTGCAAATTGCCGAAATAAACATTAGTGAAGTAAAATGAAAATTAAAAAAATAGAACGAATTTTGTCCACAATGGTGTTATTTTAATTTGTAAATGTATATTCGTCGTGTGTCGGGAGCGTCATTTTCGGGGAAGCGCGTGAGTTTGTGTCAGCGGCTGTATTAACTTGTTGGAGAGTATCTGTGTGCGCGTGTGTGTACGTAAACATACACACACTTACACATACACATACGCATACACACACACACACACACACACACACACACACACACACACACACACACACACACACACACACATTTGCATAAACAGATTTAGGAAAAATAACAGGGACAGAGGTGACATCTGCCACTGCGAAGGTATCAATAAGGAACATCCTGTGTATAAACTTTGTGCTCGTAAATACAAATTTATAAACACGACACTGCATTACACTACGACAATACATAACATCCTGCATATTATTTTGCTTAATCTTCAACCATCCATTTCGTGATCCTCGGGAATCAAGCTCCGAGGGGAACCGAGGGGAACCGAAGCCAATTTCCCCCTCGACTATTTTCTTCTTCCTTTCTTCTTCCTTTCTTCTTCTCTCTTTGTTTCCAGTATTCTCTATTTCTTCTTTTGTTAATTTGTTTGATTTATAATTTTGGCCATTTTCCCCTCGACTATTTTCTTCTTCCTTTCTTCTTCTCTCTTTGTTTCCTTTATTCTGTATTTCTTCTTTTGTTCATTTGTTTGATTTACAATTTTGGCCATTTTTAGTATTTCATTTCGTTGTGTAATATAATGTGTATTTTTTTTTTTTTTTTTTTACATGGAGAATGTTAGGATGATTTTTTATTTTAATTATTGGTCGTTTGAATAGGTATTTATGCTGCTCTTTGGAGAAAAGTGAGAATTTATTTGATGTACTGCTGTTTCCCACGATTTTTTTTGTCGATTCCGTTTTTATTAAGCATTATCTTACAAAAAAATGTGTGTCTATAATGTTTTGTATTTCATTACTCTTCATAAATGTTTTTTTTTTCAGCATTTTGTAAAAGAATATATTTTGCTCATTTTAGAAATGTGTTTTGATGTGGCCGATAAGCCGTATGTGTGGGAGGTTATTAGCGGGGGAATATAGGACTATACTGTTATGCCTGAGTTGGATGCTGTGTTTTATCGGCTCAGAGTGTTTACATGGGAGCACACACGCACATGCGCCACTTGTAGCGCACACACACATGTATATGCATACACGCGTTTTCACATACACGCGCGCACACACACACACACACACACACACACACACACACACACACACACACACACACACACACACACACACACACACACACACACACACATTTACATTCTCTCTCTCTCTCTCTCTCTCTCTCTCTCTCTCTCTCTCTCTCTCTCTCTCTCTCTCTCTCTCTCTCTCTCTCTCTCTCTCTCTCTCTCTCTCTTTCCATCTCCCTCTCCCTCTCCCTCCTCTTCTTCCTCTCTCTCTCATTTCCCTCTTCCTTATCCTCTCTTTCTCTCATCTCCCTCTTCCTTTTCCTCTCTCATTCTCTCTCTCCTCAACCATTCTCTCTCCCTCTCCCTCCTCCTCTTCCTCTCTCTCTCTCCCTCTCCGTCTCCCCCCCCCCCCCCTCTCTCTCTCTCTCTCTCTCTCTCTCTCTCTCTCTCTCTCTCTCTCTCTCTCTCTCTCTCTCTCTCTCTCTCTCTCTCTCTCTCTCTCTCTCATATATCTCTCTCTTCCTCTTCTTCTTCGTCCACTTTCCACTCCCTCCGAGGAAGAGGAGCAAGGAACGCATGTGTGATTCGTTGTGGTCATTAGGCGCAAGCAAATACAACAATATTTGCTCGCAGAAAATTGGTTTGCATACCGTTAGATGAGAACTGTATGCTAGTCAGAAATACTTGTATACACCTACAGATATTCATTCATGCGTACGTGAATAAATGCATACAATAGTTTAGAGGTAGGTATACAAAAGTAAGTGTATGATTATGGATATGAATAAATGCATGCAGATATTACCATAAATGCTATTTCCACATTGTACACGGAAACGTATTGTATGCACACACACGCGCACACACACATGCACACGCACGCACGTATGTATGTATGTATGTATGTATATATACGTATGTATGTATGCTATATAAAATATTTCCGTGTACAATACTTTTTCTGCAATTTGGCAAAACGTTAGAGTGTGTTATCATTCTGATATATGGGAAAATGAACACACACATTGGCACGCATATAATCAGAATATACACGCACACACACAACACCAGGAGAGAGTCCCCCCCCCCCCCCCCCACACACACACACTCTCCCGTCACGAGATGCATTCACTAACCTGACCTTGGTTTCTCCCACAGGCTATGAAGATCCTGTCGAAGAAGAAACTGATGAAGAAGCATGGCTGTTTTGGTGAGTCGCCCCCCCCCCCTCCCTTCCTTCCTTTCCCTCCCCCTTGTCCCTTCGGCTCTTCCCTGCCTCCCCCCCCCTTCCCTCTCCCCCCCACCCCCTTTTCCATTTCCCTCACGGCTTTTTCGTTCCTGGCCGAATCACGTGACCTTGTGATGCCCGCTGTGGCCTTGCACCTGTGAGATGCTCTCTCCTTTCTTGCCTTCTCTATATATTCTATTTGTTTCTAATTCTATCTCTGTTACCTGTCTTCTCTGGTTGACTGTTTCTTTCTCTCGCTTTCTTTTTCTGTTTTTTTTTCTTTTTTTTTGTTCTCTCATATCCTTTCTTATTCTTTCTTTCTCTCTTTTCTTTCATTTTTTTCTCTTCTCTCTCTCTCTCTCTCTCTCTCTCTCTCTCTCTCTCTCTCTCTCTCTCTCTCTCTCTCTCTCTCTCTCTCTCTCTCTCTCTCTCTCTCTCTCTGTCTCTCTCTCTGTCTCTCTCTCTGTCTCTCTCTCTCTCTCTCTCTCTCTCTCTCTCTCTCTCTCTCTCTCTCTCTCTCTCTCTCTCTCTCTCTCTCTCTCTCTCTCTCTCTCTCTCTCTCTCTCCCCTCTCTTTCTCTTTCACTCTCCTGTCCTCCCCCCCTATTTCTCTCCTCTCCTTCCCCCTATCTGCCTCTTTCTCCCTCTCTCTCTCTCACACTTTCTCTTTCTATCAATCTATCTATCTATCTATCTATCTATATATCTTTATCTCTCTCTATCTTTCTCTATCTCCCTCTGTCTCTCTCTATCTATCTCTATGTATGTATGTATGTATGTATGTATGTATGTACAAATGTTTACGGATATGCGTGTGTTTATGCGTGCGTGTGTGCATGTGTATGTGCATGAGTATAAGCTAGCGTGCCCCGCAAGGTGTGACCGACGTGCTTATAGTAGCCCCGCACTCTTACGGATACATGTGCTGTCAGCTCGCAATATATATGCCCTTTGCCTCCCCGGATTTGCACCTGGCGATCACAGCACACCGTCCCTTTTCAACAGAACTTGAATATTCAGTGCTTAAATTTAAAAATCCCGGACTGCATATTTGACTTCCTTGAGGTTCGTTTCTGAATGTTTTATTTACATATGTATGAGGTGTTTAAATTTTTAATGCAGGGCATCAGGGAGTGGGATTTCATGCGGCGAGGTGGAAGTAAATGTTGGACAAACACGTAACTTTAGAGCAAACTAAAACTTTTTACAACGTTGTTTTTACAAGTACCTTGATAGAACGATGAATTTGTAATGGCAATTTAACACGTAGGTAACGTAGAAGTCTTAGTTTTATAATTAATTATGCTTGTTCAGCGTACGAAACACAAGCCCGTGATGTAACTGAGCCAGTATTGAGACAATGCAGGAATCGTGAATTAAGCTGTTGCTCAGTCTGACAACACGAGTCGGCTGCAGTTTAATCGTGGAATTGTGCAGCGGGAATCTGTCCCACCACCAGGATGGAAATGATAATAATGGCGATGATGATAATTAGGGAAGTAAATGATAATAAGTGATAATAGTCATAATCGTAATGATGGTAATAATAATGGTGACGATAACTACGTTAATAAAATGAAGATCATGAAGATTGATATTGACAGTCATCAACAATAACAACACCAATGAAAATAGCAATAACATAGAAAAGCAAATTGATAATAAGATAGCCATGTTGCCCGACCTAACTATGTGGCACAGAGCTTGAAAGCGCCCATGCAAGTACAACATGGAGCAAACCCGGGACGCCTGGTAGGGGAGGGAGTCCCCGGGGGATTCATATCTGTTGTAATCAGTAGAGGGAAGGGGGAGGGGAGGGGGAGGAGGAGGGAGGGGGAGGAAGGCGGTTGAAGGGAGGAAGAGGAATGGGAAAGAGAGGGGAAGAGGAGAAAGGAGGGGGGGGGGAGAAGGGGGAGGGGGAAAGAGAGGAGGGAGAGTGGGAAAGAAAAGGGAGAATGAGGAAGAAGAAGACAGGGAAGGAGCGAAAGGGGGCAAAGGAGAAGAGGGAAAAGGGGAGAAAAGAGAAGGATAGGAGAGGAGGGAGAAAGGAGGGAAAGGGGAAGAAGGAGATGGGAGTGGAGGAAGGAGGGGGAGGATAGGAAGAGATTGGGGGAGGTGGGAGAAGGGGGAAGGAATAGTTAAAAAAAGAGAGGAGGGAAAGGGAAAGGAGAAAAAGAATGGAGGAAAAGGGGAGAAAGAAGAATGGGGAAGAGGGATAGGGAAGAGAAGAGAAACAAGAATAGAAGGAGAAGAGAGAAAAGAGAAAGGAAGTAATTGTAAAGGAGGAAAATGGGAGACGAAAGAGGGAAAAGGAGGAGAGAAAAAAAGCAGGAGGGAAGGGAAGAAGAGGAACCCCGAGCGCGACAAGAGGGGGGTGGGGGGGGCAGTCACCCGGTCGCTTCCCCGAGGCGAGTATTGCCTCCGCTTCCCGGCGCCGCTCACAGGATCGTATTAATTTTGCAAAATCGTGATTTATTGCGTCCCTTCGCAGTTCGTTGCAATATGGTCCGAGGCACAAATGTTGCAGTCAGCGCTTGTTTCGATCATGGAAATGAGAATGCCGGCGATATTAAAAATAGGTGGAAATGGTTTCGGTGACAGTAATTCTTGCCTTAAACTGAGGACATATTAGGCTGATTTTTCACGCAGCCAGACAGTGTTAACACAAGCGACTTTTTACCTCGACAAAAGGGAAAGAGAAAATTAAACAAAAGAACGCTGGAAGACGCGACGCTGGCAACCGGGATGTAGATAAATCAGTAAATAAATGGATAAGGGAATGAATAAGTGGATAGATAATTGAATAATAAAATAGGTAAATGAATAAACAAACATACAGTGAAGGAAAGAACAGAGAGAAACTGGTAGGGATTATACACTTTAGAGCAATGCGACGGTTGTAGAACAGTCGTTTTTTTTCTTCTCCTTTTTCTTCTTCTTCTTCTTCTTCTTTTCTCTTTTTCTTTTTTTCTTTTTTTTTAATCACCACGCCACCTTTAGTAGCTGGTCTTTGCCCCCCACGCCCTTCAGTCGAGGGATAAAAATCATACATAAAATTATAAGAAAAAACTGCCAAAAAAGACGTGTGCTTTTTCTTTTCTTTTTTTTTACTGAGCAAAGAATTCCGTATGTTTAACGCTCAAATACACACGTCAGCGATTCAGAGAAATTTAAAAATGATTATTAAATCTTACTTCTTTCCTCCGGGTTCTTGGCCCCGAGACTCAGGAGATCTTCATTCTGGAAGTTTCTGGAAAAAAAAGTTTCCATAGTGTGTGTGTGCGTGTGTGCTTGTGTGCGTGTGTGCTTGTGTGCGTGTGTGTGTGTGTGTGTGTGTGTGTGTGTGTGTGTGTGAGAGAGAGAGAGAGAGAACGTGAGTGTATGTCTGTGTCTGTCTGTCTGTCTGACCATGATCTGCATGGCAAAGAAGTTGATGCTGGTCCTTGCTCTCACGGGACAGCTTCTGCAAGTTCATTTTAACTCCGCTCTCACACTTAACCTGTTCATACTTCACGTCTTAACACTCTTCATATTTGACCATTTGAACTCCCTCACTCTCGGCAGGTTGTTCACGCTTCTTTTGTCTTGCTCTCACAACCCCCTCCCCCCCTCCCCCTCCCCCACACCCATTACTCCCCAACCCGTTCATGAAAGAATTAGCTATACACTCCCCTCCCCCTCCCCCCCCTAGTCACACACACCCCCTCCCGCCCCCCCTTTCCAGCATGTTGTGTTAACCTCACCTCCTTTTTATGTTTTTATTTTTGCCTGACTTTACCGTTTTTTATTTTTGTCATTTTTTGTGTTGGTGTTCGTGTTGGTGTTCGGGTGTGCATGGCGGAGCAGGCCGAGCTTGGACCATAGGCGGCGAGACAGAGGGATCGCCGCACGCCCGTTCCCTCAGCCCGTGCCACCGCCTCGCCAGCTACTCGCCGCCCACTCTCAGAGGTAAGTCCGCCCGCACACCACCACCTACGCCACCATCCCTCACCGCCACCTGGCTGCCGCCCACACTACTACTGCTACTACTACTACTACTACAAAAAACTACTACTACTCCTAGCCATTTTGCAACGTTCACCCGCCCACGCAGTGTGTGTCCGCCCACCCAGTGTGAAGAGCGCGCTCCTCCTCACACTGGGCGGCGCACGGCAGACCAAGCTGTGCAGTAGGAGCGCCCGCGCAGCACCGTCGCAGCAGCGGTGGTAGTTAGATCGTTGCCCGAAGTGCCAACACCCCACCGGCCCCTACCATGTGCCCGTGTCTAGTGTGTAGTGCCCTGTACTTCACACGTACATACATGCTTAAGTGCATCGGTGTACTCCGTATGAATATAGTTTTCTGTGTTTAAAGTTGCACTTATACAGTATGTAATCAAGTAATTACACATATGTAAGGATGTGATTCTATTTAAACTAAGTTAGAGAGACAGACACAAAACTTAGAATGCAAAACTTTAGAACTCATGTCGAGTAAAACTACAAACGTGTTTTCTCAAAAACAACGTCATAAAGTAGTGTTGTTATTTGAATATTATAATTCACATTGGTTGGACGTATGATTTAGCGTATCTAGGTGCAATTATTTTGTTTTGTTATTTACAACGTAAGGTACAGTAGTACCCATAAGCTTTCACGACACTTACATTATTTCAACCATTTATCAGATAAGTACATTTATTCATAGTGCCCATATATGTATCTATCATAATAGCCAAAATCCCACTAGGCAATACTTTACGAATATTCACATAACGTAGCCGCTAAAGTGACGGTTCTCTCCGGGCGTTTGCAGTGAAGGGGCGGCTGCCGCCTCCGCGCGCGTCGGGAGGCCGGCCGATCGAGAACCCGCTGGACAGAGTGCACCGCGAGATCGCCATCCTCAAGAAGCTCATCCACCCCAACGTCGTCAAGCTGGTCGAAGTCCTGGACGACCCGGACGAGGATAACTTTTACATGGGTGAGTCCTTCCTTCGATGCGCGGCCGACTTCTCTAAAGGGGTTGGCCTTAATTTCGGGAACGGGGATGCAAGGGGTATGTTGGGAGATTGGTATTCAGGGGAGTCAGTCCTGGGGGATGCTGATGTATTTTAACGTGGATTTCACCCTCAGCATTTGAGCTTCTGGAGAAGGGCGAGGTAATGGAGGTGCCGACGGACACGCCCCTCACGGAAGACCAAGCCTGGGGCTACTTCAGGGACGTCGTTCTTGGCATAGAATACTGTAAGTGAAAGATGTTTTGTTTTGTCATAAAGCATAATGCATGCGTTAGATGCACCATGCTATTAGTGTCCCTTTAAGTTAAGGCTACCTTGAAGTGCCTATATATTTTTCTTATTATATATAAACAAGTACCTGATTCTCTTAATAATATAATAATACCTTAGCACTCATACCCCAAACCATATACACATATGATTTCAAAATACAGATATGTAGATTGTTTTAGTGTTTCTAATGTACCTCTCGTATAGATATGTACTCTCTTGAACTAAGGCACACGCAACACTCATAGAGAATTATAAAGACACAACATTTTGGATATGCAACTGTCACTCATAGACCTATTAATCATCTGACTCCGTCTTAGGAAGCTTTCATTCACATGTATGTAAACTAGCTCTTGCGTTCTTAACCATAATATAGATGCGCAAACTCTCACTTTAACGCGCGACTTTAACAGACACGCGTACTTTCTCCAAACACCTTTATGTACACCTCTTTCACGCACGAATCTATAGACTCTAACACTTCCACAAATTCTCATAAAAAAAAAAAAAAAAAAAAAAAAAAAAACAGAAACCCTTTTAAACTGTTTTTCTCTCCCCCGCAGTGCACTACCAGAAGATAATCCACCGCGACATTAAGCCATCGAACCTGCTTCTCGGCGACAACGGCCACATCCAGATCGCGGACTTCGGGGTTTGCAACGAGTTCGACGGCCAGGACGCCTTCCTCACCAACACGGCGGGAACACCTGCCTTCATGGCTCCCGAAGCGCTCTCCACGTCGCGGCATAAATATTCCGGGAAGGTAAGGCGGGGGAAAGGAGACGGAGGGAGGGTGGGGGAGGTGGGAGGGGGGGAGGGGAGGGGAGAGGTGGGAGTGGGAGGGGAAGGGGGAAATGGAGATAGGGAGTAGGGAAAAGGGAGGGATAGGGGGAGAGGGAGGGAGGGGAGTTAGGGAGAGAGAAGGTGGGGAGTAAGAGAGAGAGGAGGTGGGTAAAAAGAGAGAGAGAGACGGTGGGGATTAAGAAAGAGAGAAGATGGGGAGTAAAAGAGAGAAAAAGTGGGGAGAAAGAGAGAGAGAGAATGAGAGAGAAAGAGAGAGGGAGAGAAAGAGAGAGGGAGAGAAAGAGAGAGGGAGAGAAAGAGAGAGGGAGAGAAAGAGAGAGGGAGAGAAAGAGAGAGGAGTTAGGGGAAGGGAGGGAGAAATGGGAAACACAAAACGCCTCCGGGAAATTTTGATCCATAAAGAGAATTGCGCCACACAATCCAGTTGTCATATTTTTTTATTCAAAAGTTTCTGTCGCGTCAACATCTAAGGTCATTAGCGGCGTATTCAAAATATAGCGATGAAATGGGGCTTGAATTATTTGAAAGAAATAAGTGAACTTGATCTAATATACCTCAAAATTATTTTAAGAACTACTTTTTAATTTTATTTAAGGATAACACATTTAGACATTTAATTTACGATTCACGTAAGTTAGCCCTTACTACCTTCATAACATTTCCTTTTTTACGGAACTGTATAAGGCTGGAGCATAATCCCATTCCCTTCCTCTTTCAGGCCGCAGACATCTGGGCAATGGGTGTGACTCTATATGCCTTCGTTTACGGGAAACTTCCATTCCACGATGAAAATATTGTTGTGTTGTACGATAAGATCCGGAACGCGCCTCTCGTGTTCCCACCCGCGCCGTTCGTATCCGATGACCTCAAGGATTTGATTAGCCTAATGTTAGAAAAGGATCCTGCTAAGAGAATAACGCTGCCGGATATTAAGGTAAGTAAAAGAAGTAAAAAAAAAAAAAAAAAAAGGAAAGATGGAAATAAAATCCAGCTTGTTATATCAGGGAATGAGGTTAATATTGTAGCTTGCTTTGTAAAAATTGAATTAGGTCCGTATGCTATGTACAGTTGGCAGAACGAAATTTCATAAAAGAATGACTAAATGCCACCACGTAAGTTATTGTGTTTGTCATCTATTTATTCATTCTGAAAATCTCAAAGGAAAGGATTTCTATGGAGAGAAAGAGAGAGGGAGAGAAAGAGAGAGGGAGAGAAAGAGAGAGGGAGAGAAAGAGAGAGGGAGAGAAAGAGAGAGGGAGAGAAAGAGAGAGGGAGAGAAAGAGAGAGGGAGAGAAAGAGAGAGGGAGAGAAAGAGAGAGGGAGAGAAAGAGAGAGGGAGAGAAAGAGAGAGGGAGAGAAAGAGAGAGGGAGAGAAAGAGAGAGGGAGAGAAAGAGAGAGGGAGAGAAAGAGAGAGGGAGAGAAAGAGAGAGGGAGAGAAAGAGAGAGGGAGAGAAAGAGAGAGGGAGAGAAAGAGAGAGGGAGAGAAAGAGAGAGGGAGAGAAAGAGAGAGGGAGAGAAAGAGAGAGGGAGAGAAAGAGAGAGGGAGAGAAAGAGAGAGGGAGAGAAAGAGAGAGGGAGAGAAAGAGAGAGGGAGAGAAAGAGAGAGGGAGAGAAAGAGAGAGGGAGAGAAAGAGAGAGGGAGAGAAAGAGAGAGGGAGAGAAAGAGAGAGGGAGAGAAAGAGAGAGGGAGAGAAAGAGAGAGGGAGAGAAAGAGAGAGGGAGAGAAAGAGAGAGGGAGAGAAAGAGAGAGGGAGAGAAAGAGAGAGGGAGAGAAAGAGAGAGGGAGAGAAAGAGAGAGGGAGAGAAAGAGAGAGGGAGAGAAAGAGAGAGGGAGAGAAAGAGAGAGGGAGAGAAAGAGAGAGGGAGAGAAAGAGAGAGGGAGAGAAAGAGAGAGGGAGAGAAAGAGAGAGGGAGAGAAAGAGAGAGGGAGAGAAAGAGAGAGGGAGAGAAAGAGAGAGGGAGAGAAAGAGAGAGGGAGAGAAAGAGAGAGGGAGAGAAAGAGAGAGGGAGAGAAAGAGAGAGGGAGAGAAAGAGAGAGGGAGAGAAAGAGAGAGGGAGAGAAAGAGAGAGGGAGAGAAAGAGAGAGGGAGAGAAAGAGAGAGGGAGAGAAAGAGAGAGGGAGAGAAAGAGAGAGGGAGAGAAAGAGAGAGGGAGAGAAAGAGAGAGGGAGAGAAAGAGAGAGGGAGAGAAAGAGAGAGGGAGAGAAAGAGAGAGGGAGAGAAAGAGAGAGGGAGAGAAAGAGAGAGGGAGAGAAAGAGAGAGGGAGAGAAAGAGAGAGGGAGAGAAAGAGAGAGGGAGAGAAAGAGAGAGGGAGAGAAAGAGAGAGGGAGAGAAAGAGAGAGGGAGAGAAAGAGAGAGGGAGAGAAAGAGAGAGGGAGAGAAAGAGAGAGGGAGAGAAAGAGAGAGGGAGAGAAAGAGAGAGGGAGAGAAAGAGAGAGGGAGAGAAAGAGAGAGGGAGAGAAAGAGAGAGGGAGAGAAAGAGAGAGGGAGAGAAAGAGAGAGGGAGAGAAAGAGAGAGGGAGAGAAAGAGAGAGGGAGAGAAAGAGAGAGGGAGAGAAAGAGAGAGGGAGAGAAAGAGAGAGGGAGAGAAAGAGAGAGGGAGAGAAAGAGAGAGGGAGAGAAAGAGAGAGGGAGAGAAAGAGAGAGGGAGAGAAAGAGAGAGGGAGAGAAAGAGAGAGGGAGAGAAAGAGAGAGGGAGAGAAAGAGAGAGGGAGAGAAAGAGAGAGGGAGAGAAAGAGAGAGGGAGAGAAAGAGAGAGGGAGAGAAAGAGAGAGGGAGAGAAAGAGAGAGGGAGAGAAAGAGAGAGGGAGAGAAAGAGAGAGGGAGAGAAAGAGAGAGGGAGAGAAAGAGAGAGGGAGAGAAAGAGAGAGGGAGAGAAAGAGAGAGGGAGAGAAAGAGAGAGGGAGAGAAAGAGAGAGGGAGAGAAAGAGAGAGGGAGAGAAAGAGAGAGGGAGAGAAAGAGAGAGGGAGAGAAAGAGAGAGGGAGAGAAAGAGAGAGGGAGAGAAAGAGAGAGGGAGAGAAAGAGAGAGGGAGAGAAAGAGAGAGGGAGAGAAAGAGAGAGGGAGAGAAAGAGAGAGGGAGAGAAAGAGAGAGGGAGAGAAAGAGAGAGGGAGAGAAAGAGAGAGGGAGAGAAAGAGAGAGGGAGAGAAAGAGAGAGGGAGAGAAAGAGAGAGGCTCATACTTTACGTGAACTCATCGTGGCAGCCATTGCTATTGTCCTGTCAAAAGACATCCCCCGCAGGCTCTTGCCATTATAGAAATTTACAGGAAACCTTCCATGATTTATTTTTATTTTAGATTATTTTATTATTTTCTGTCTGTTTGTGATTATAGCATAGATTTGCAAAATTCCGCTAGTCTTTGTGACAAAGCAAGTCATGATTTATGATTTAGTTTATATATGACATGTTAACCATGTAAATAGCTACTCCTTCTTTCGAATAAGGTCTGTGCTTAGTTTTCTCACTTATTAAACCCCTAAAAACATACATATAAACTTCTACCATATGATTGCAGCAACATCCCTGGGTGACAGCAGGTAATCAGTACCCGCTGCCCACCGAAGAGGAGAACTGTGTACTGATCGAGGTAACGGACGAGGAGGTCCAGACGTGCGTGCGGTCGATCCCCAAGCTGGAAACGCTAATCCTCATCAAGTGTATGCTCAAGAAACACAGCTTCCACAACCCGTTCAAGATGAACGTGCTCATCAAGGAGCAGTTTGCGCGTGCTGGACGGTCGCACTCGGCGCCTGGTTCGTATGAGTTCTACTTGGACAGGTATGGGTTGTGGTGGTGGTAATCGGCAGCTCTCGTCTCTCATCCTCCACTCTGCGCCCTGCACTGCACGCCTTTGTTGCTCTCCGTGGTGTAGTACTGACCCAGTAACGTTTATGATGTCTTTATTATGTGGGTGAAGGGAAGAACATTTTCATGATGGTTCTTTATGTTTTCAAACATTTCAAAACCGAAGTTAAACATTCCTTTCATGTGAAAGTTTTTTTTCTAGTCTTGAAAATGTTCTCTTTGTAAGGTGTTCAGCTGTCAAGTGTTGAGAGAGAGCTTTAACTCTCATCGATCAGAATATATGTTTTTTTTTTATATAAAAGTTCTAAAAAGTAAATGGAAAAGAGGATTATTGCTACATCAGATTTTTTAGTGTCAGCATAAAAAAAGACTCGTATCACATTTCCTATGGGTGCTTTTTTGCGGAGATTTTTTTATCACCACAGATTGAAATTAAAGATATTTTTTTACGAACAAGAAAGGAAATATGACATTCATTCGGTGTAGTAGATTATAATATATATATATTTTTTATAGTTTTGTAACTTTATTATTTTGTGGTCATATGAACGACTAGAATTACAGTTTGTCATATGTGTAAGAAAAAAAATATCTTCATTTTTATGATATTTTTGATGTGGATATAAAGACTCAAGAAATAATATCAATTATTTTTAACAGCACCATAGGACAGTATATGAGTCACAGCACTGAGTTCATGAGTGAGTAAAAGACACATTTCCTGTTAAAGAAACTGACCATGTTTATTACGTAGAAATACTGCAAACACGCATTTGCGCATTACACACACGCACACGCACACACGCACTGTCTCTCTCTCTCTCTCTCTCTCTCTCTCTCTCTCTCTCTCTCTCTCTCTCTCTCTCTCTCTCTCTCTCTCTCTCTCTCTCTCTCTCTCTCTCTCTCTCTCTCTTTCTCTCTCTCTCTCTCTCTCTCTCTCTCTCTTTCATTCATTTACTCTTACTCTCCTCTCACTATCACTCTTACCCTTACTCTCATTCTCTCACTCACTCTTACTCTTACTCTTACTCTTACTGTCAATTTTACTCTTACTCTCATTCTCACCCTCACTCTTACCCTTACTCTCATTCTCTCACTCTCACTCTTACTCTCATTCTCTCACTCTCACTTTTACTCTTACTCTTATTCTCTCTCTCACTTTTACTCTTACTCTTATTCTCTCTCTCACTTTTACTCTTACTCTTATTCTCTCTCTCACTTTTACTCTTACTCTTATTCTCTCACTCTCACTTTTACTCTTACTCTCATTCTCTCTCTCACTTTTACTCTTACTCTTATTCTTTCACTCTCACTTTTACTCTTACTCTCATTCTCTCACTCTCACTTTTACTCTTAATTCTCATTCTCTCACTCTCACTTTTACTCTTACTCTCATTTTCTCTTACTCTCATTCTCTCACTCTCACTCTTACCCTTACTCTCATTCTCATTTTTACTCCTACTCTCATTCTCTCACCCTCACTCTTACTCTTACTCTCATCCTTTCTCTCTCATTCTCATTCTCTCTCTCACCCAAAACCCGAAGCCGAAACCTAAGCTCAAAACACAAACTGTAACACACGAATGCACACTAACACACACACCCATACATACAATGCGTGCATACATATATATACAATTAGAAATGCATATAAAACTTCAAAGTTTGAACTATTTTACTATAACTTTTAATTTTATCCATGATGCAGCTTTTTATTGACACTTATATAAGTAACTTATGAGCAAATATTATTTTTTTAAATGCCGGACAAGATGACTTGCAAACAACAGTGTGCTAAGGCTGGGAAATCAAAGATACAACTCCAGGCAGTCATGTCCTTGAGGAATAACCATGTAATTATAACTTGTATCAGCTTGTGGGCTGTAGTTTGCCCTGGTGACTTGTTATCTATGCTTTGATAAACGATTCAAGTAATATTTCCAGTTGAAGTGTTTACAGGTTATTGAAAGCTAGAATATTATTGTGTCTCTTGCTCACCCATTGTAGAACAGGATGATTGCTGGAAGTAAGCAAAGCTGAACGTGCATTTGAAGCCTGAACGTTGACCCTATTTAGTGATTTTAGAAAGACTCATTTTGTACTTCATCAGTAGCTGATTTTTATCATTTATGTTTGGCTTATTAAAAGCACTTTCCTTGATACACACACAAGTCAAAAAAGTCTACCTATTGTTGATAATTTACTTTTAGATATAACCTCAGTAAAGGCATGGAATGATAAATCAATTATTCTTATTTACATATGAGCATTCATGTTCAGGGTATAAATATGTGCAAAAGTAATGCCACTAATTACCTTTTGATTAAAAAGCAAACTCATTTATTGGTATAAATTTAGTTTCCAGAAAATTAGTTTTTGTAATGACTTGTATGCCAGAGTAAGAAGAATCTTTGGCCTTATGGGTATTAAAGGATGGTATATACAGGCTGATACATTCTTAAATGCTTTGCTGATTATCTGGATCCACAACAATATGAAATGCAGAAATAGCATTTCTTTTGCTATTGATGTGAAAATAGTGTCAGTCAAAAGATATGGAGTAATTGCTTTAATAAGCTTCTGCTTTTGGTCTTGTGATTCACATGTAAATGTTAATGTTCTTGAAATTGGGCTTGATGTTTCTCAAATACAACTATTTCAGAAAGACATTACCTTTCTTGAGGTATCTGAGGCATTGATGATATTTGTATCAAATGCAAGCAACTGACTAGTATTTGAGGCACCACAGCAGCTGACTCCTTCATTGTTTGAGGCATATGTATCAGACTACTAACTTATCTGTGACTAGAGCCTCACTTGCTGGTCAGGAAGCAGCGTCATTTCAAATATTTTATGTCTCTGAAAGTTAATTATAGCCTTTTTTCAATGAAACTATGCACATAAGGATTCTAGTGCCTTTCATCAAATTTGACTCCTTTGTGAGGTTTTATTACTGTGCTCCTTATGTTATGTTGCTTCTCTGAGTGATGATTACTTGTGTTTTGTGAATGTTTTACCACAAATGTTTGTATGTAGTTTCAAACTTGCAGACACACGACTTTTACCAGCATACTGTATTCTATATGTAGCATGTATATAGATATCCATTTGTTTCTGTAAGTATTTAGAATACCATATGCTGTCTAATAAGTCTGTCTTTGCAGGTTTTTGTTTTTCTTGTATGTCACCTTGTGTTCAAAACCTGTTGTTTAAAGCTGCAGTTAATATTTCAGTTTATTTTGTTTAATTCTGAGATATGAATATATTTTTAATGAAATATACTTGTTGCATATTTGAGTAAACAACCGATACATTCTGCAAGTCGCCATAAGGAAAACAGATAATCCTTGAAACATAGAACTGAAGAAAAAGTTGAACTCAGGAACAAGTCATAAGAAATATATCCCAATGGTGATTACATACTGCAGAAAGTAAGGAATGACACTATAATCTGACTATAAACATATATACTAATATAGTGAATGTGTTCTTCCCATCTAACAGGAAGAGGTCGCTTGATATCACACTCCCAGCAGTAGATGAACTGGAGGTCTGCGGGGAGGACAGATGATGTGACGGCCCATCACTTGGTGCAGTGCAGAAGGAAATCATCATCATGATGTGCTTGTTACAGTTTTTAAAATGATATAAATGTAAAGAACATGATAAATTTAAAAACTCTCTCAAAAAACTTACCTCGTTGTTGTTGGTTTCTCATTAACTTCTTAAGATCATTTATTGAATACATATAACAGGATGCAACAATGTATCCTTTAATGCAATAAAATGTGTATCTGCTGTTTTAAGTGAGAGAAAGCTGTGCCAACACAATAAAGCGTAGCTGCTCTAGTAATGCATAAATAGAGAAGAGATTTTACAAGGGGACGAAGCAGTTAAAAGTGAGCAATGAAGATAATGCATGCAGCGGTGCTAGTAAAGGCAGGCAAGGCAATTGTTGGTTATGTTTTGAAGAGATGTTTTGGCTAAGATGTCTTACACTGCCAGAAAACTGAAATAGTGTAGACTGAGCACTTAGAAAGTTTCATGTTATTTTTGGATCAGTATGTAAGAGTTTTGAAGTGTTTTTGTCTTGGCTAAAATCTGCTACAATTTATATTTATTACCCCAACAACCGGAGAATAATGGTTGATTAATTTTCTTGCATTAGATTTCAGGATGTAGCTAAACAGTGATATTCTTACTTTATGTTCTAATAAAGTAAATCAAGTAAATATTCCAGCAAGAAAAATAGAAAACATTAGTTTTCATTGGCTTGATGGAAAATCATGCATATGTGCACAGTAAATTTAATAGTTTTATATGAAGGTAACTAATAACTACTGTCATCTGTGATGTTTGGTAGCCTCTCCCAGTCTTTTTGACAATCTTATGATCTGATAGAATTTGTTGCAGATCACTTTTATTTTTAATTTATGTGATTACACAATTCATGCTAATAAAAAAAAACAAAAAAAACATCCAGTTGCTATAAGTTGTTTATACATAGGGGCTTTTATGTAAAATTTAGGCCCCGTTGTACAAGGAGGTAGAAGTACTACATTCATTTTTATTTTTATGGGGGTTTGTATACATAAGCAACATCTTTTTTAACATATAGATCAGAGCTTTTTGACTGTTGTTTAATGCATTGGGACTTGGTTTGAATTCTGGTTCATGCTAGGTCACAACTCAATGTCTTTGGGCTGTTCTGCTGCCATCCGGGTTAATAACAGTTTCTGAAAGGCCTATTCCATAAGGTGTACTGGGATATAAAAATAAGAGCATCCATGTACGGGAGGACACGAGAATTAGTTATTGGTTCGTCCAGACTAATCTGTCATGTGAGGCTGGGCTGTGAGTGTTAAACATCGTTGAAGCATCTGAAAAGTGCTGTTCACTGACAAGACGTTTATTTCTAGAATGTTATTAATGCATAATTTCTTATTACTTGAACCATTGCATTTTTGATGTTGTGCTAGATTTAAATACAGTAATATAACTCAGTGATATATAAGTACACTGTTTTGCTTAATATTAATACAATGCCATAGAGACTGGCTGTGCAAAGTCTCCGTTAATTATTCTGTGATTTTCTGACTAGCATATTTAGGTCAATATTTCAGTGTTCCATAAACTGTAGACTACTCTGGGACAAGTTCCCATTGATGGCACATCATGGCAGTAATCATAATGATGTCCTATTGGTATTTGGTAAAATTATACATAATGTTAAAGTCTTTTGCATGAGCTGTTACCTTTTAAAGATGTTTAAGACTTGAAGTATCCTAACTAACTATTCATATTAAACAAAATATTTGCCTCACTGATATGCCAGTGTGAGGAGGCAGAGAGTGGACTGCAGGTTTGGCTCAGTGTTTGTCTCGTGGTACAAGATACAGTTCCCAGCATGCAAAGTTAAACAAGCCTCCCTGTGAACTGATTTCACTTCTATGCAAAAAATGAACATTTTAAAGGAATTTAGCATCAAGTGTCTGTGTACGATATTTTATTTTTCTTGTTATATACAGTTTAATTATATTTTTATTTCAAATTCAAATTTCAGATTACCTTCTGTTCACAGTGTAACCTATTAAATTGAATCATCTGATAAATTTAAAATAAGACTTCAAATGTCTTTGGAAAGGCAATAAATTTGGTCGTAGAAAGTGAGTTGAACAGTTGATTGTTCTACATGTTGTGTAACTAGACATCTTTTTTCATACATAATGAATCAGTTTTATTTATTTGGATTTCCAATGTAGAAATAGGGTTAGTGAATGGCTTTAATAAATTTAAAATAAGACTTCAAATGTCTTTGGAAAGGCAATAAATTTGGTCGTAGAAAGTGAGTTGAACAGTTGATTGTTCTACATGTTGTGTCCTCTGTGTTACAGTGTAGTTCATATATGCAACTTGTCAATTTATAAATCACATGTCTATTATTAATGCATTTATAACTGATACACATGTTAGACATCTTTTTTCATACATAATGAATCAGTTTTATTTATTTGGATTTCCAATGTAGAAATAGGGTTAGTGAATGGCTTTAATAAATTTAAAATAAGACTTCAAATGTCTTTGGAAAGGCAATAAATTTGGTCGTAGAAAGTGAGTTGAACAGTTGATTGTTCTACATGTTGTGTCCTCTGTGTTACAGTGTAGTTCATATATGCAACTTGTCAATTTATAAATCACATGTCTATTATTAATGCATTTATAACTGATACACACGTTAGACATCTTTTTTCATACATAATGAATCAGTTTTATTTATTTGGATTTCCAATGTAGAAATAGGGTTAGTGAATGGCTTTAATAAATTTAAAATAAGACTTCAAATGTCTTTGGAAAGGCAATAAATTTGGTCGTAGAAAGTGAGTTGAACAGTTGATTGTTCTACATGTTGTGTCCTCTGTGTTACAGTGTAGTTCATATATGCAACTTGTCAATTTATAAATCACATGTCTATTATTAATGCATTTATAACTGATACACATGTTAGACATCTTTTTTCATACATAATGAATCAGTTTTATTTATTTGGATTTCCAATGTAGAAATAGGGTTAGTGAATGGCTTTAATAAATTTAAAATAAGACTTCAAATGTCTTTGGAAAGGCAATAAATTTGGTCGTAGAAAGTGAGTTGAACAGTTGATTGTTCTACATGTTGTGTCCTCTGTGTTACAGTGTAGTTCATATTCGTTGTGTCCTCTGTGTTACAGTGTAGTTCATATATGCAACTTGTCAATTTATAAATCACATGTCTATTATTAATGCATTTATAACTGATACACACGTTAGACATCTTTTTTCATACATAATGAATCAGTTTTATTTATTTGGATTTCCAATGTAGAAATAGGGTTAGTGAATGGCTTTAATAAATTTAAAATATGATAATTGGTTTGTATACAATGTTATTTTCTGTCTTGTAATTGCTATCTTCAGTGGTTGACACACGCCAGATGTTGAAAAGTTTGTCATGAGTTAATCCTCCCAACCCCCAAAATTTAATATAATCATTCTAGAACTTCTTCCAGAGCTGCAGGTGTCTACCACTGACTGTTAATTCATTCTGGTCAAGTGGATATCCTTCTTTGAATCAGATTGTGTTTCCACAATGGTATAGTTTGTTTCAGAGAGATAAAGGTATTGGTATTTTCAGCAGTTATTTTTATAGTTTTATGCTCAGTAAAAAAAAAAAAAATCATTTTTTTCTTTTTCAGACAATGTTAAAATATTTCATTTCACTTTGGTAAATGATTAAACTTAGCACAAATAATTAATATAGACTGGGCTCCATTACACCCCCAGAAATTACTTTCTCCCAGGCTGTCTTGTGTTGCCAAACATCCTGTACCTTTGGCAAGGAAACCTTTTTTGAAAAAAGCTCATTGTGAATGATTAATCTCCAAAGAGGATTTCCACACAGCAATACTTGTGACAGGGAATAAAAAGGCAGAAAACACTGTTATATACCTAAAGCTGGTGGTTCAGTTCAGGTGATTTGCTGTACCTATATAATGAGCCTACTTATATAGTACAGAGTTACTTTTGTCAACTTTCCATTAATGAGTTACAATGTGTTATTCTATGCAAAATGTGAATGATTTCTGAAGTAGTAATGGCTGAGTATGTTGCATACATTATTACAGGCTCTTTTTTTAAAACTCGCCCTTTCTTCTACAACTGTAAAGTATGTACATACCAATTAGCTGAATACGATGTAGGAATAACATGTTTATCTGGATGATAAACTAGAATTAATTGATGAAAACAAAATATTTTTAATATCCAACCAAATTGATGTTCATGATGCCAACTCCTGTTTTCAAGATAAAATTGTTTCAGTGCTTGACAATGTTAATATTTTGCATCATTAAAATTAGCATTTAATGAACAAATTTTGCAATACATAACAGGGTCTCTATTGATATACAGATAACAAACTTAATGAATACAGTTTATTACAATCACTTGAAACAAACTCTTACATTGAGCTTAAAATATATATAAAATTCCAAAATCTATAAATAGTAGAGTTGCTGACAATGACCAAAGCTTCAAGTTAATTTGAGTGATTATGGACTGAGAATAGCAGAAAAAATATGATGAGATGGGACTTTTGTGATTTCATGAGGGGAAAAAAAAAGTTTTCATATTAATGATTGAACCATTTGCCTTTTTTGTGTACTATAAATAATGAAATTGGTTTCAAATAAATAGATGAATAAATACGGAAAAATAAATGTTCAGGGACATTTATCCGTAGATTTTGATTTCAGAATTTTACATTTTGAAATGTCCATTATGACAATTTCAGAATTTCTCCAAGTTACTGCAGGGAAGCTGTTTGGATACAGCTAAATTCATACATCACTTAGCTTTTGGTAGTTAAAAAGAGGAAAAAAAATTGACATAAATGTTTGGTATGCACAGAATGGATGTGTAAGCTGGCAGGACAGAATGAAAGGTGTTAAAATGCTGGAAGTTAGAAAATAGAACTCTGTACTTACCAAGATACTGGGCTTTACAAGAAAATCCCACTTCTTGTTCATTGCATGGAATGTCCTACTGCACATTTGTCATATGAATATTATACAGAATTTTATGCATTGATGCAAATTTCCAGTTTCAATGTGTCCTGTACATAATAAAAAAAATAAAAAAAAAACTTTTTCTGTGTAACATTTCATATCTGTTGGAATTTCTATTTTTAGACTGCATCACTTTCTATTATCTAAGTGTTACCCAGTGACGTCCAGATTATTATTTGTATCGGGACGCCCTGAGGATCTTTGCTATTCTATTATTGTATCTTGAAGGTACGAGAAAGTTCATGTTTGTGACTTATAACTTATTATGTACACTTCAAATAAATCAACATTTGAAGAATTCCAGTGTTCTTTTATTTTACACTTTGGTCATTGTTTTATTTTCAAGTGCAATACAACTCAGCTCAAAGAAATTCAATAACTTAAAAATGCAAATCTGAAACACAGTTTACATGATAAAATCTACATTCTTATTTCTAGAAGTGCAAAATTATAAAAATAGTCTGGCAAACATTTTATTTCTTTCTAGTTTCACACAACCCTGTTGTAATTAAATATATTATCCAAACTTGATCTATCTTTCAATCCTATTTCATAAACAGCTTAACTGCTAAAGGACTTTTGACAATTTTTATCCTCAGGCGCAGACTGACCCCCTCCCCCCCAAGAAAAAAAAATAGATAAATAAATAAAAAATAAATAAATAAAAAAATAAACATCATCCATTAGAACAGACCAAACAAAAAGAATATTTTTTTGCTGTCCTGTGTGCACACATGGGTCTAATCTTGTCATCCTTTGGGGGTTAAACAGGATCTTTCCATTTTCTTTCCTTTCTATCCATTTAATAATCAAAATTCACAAGTCTAATCAAAGGCACTATCTGGTCTTGAAATCCAATTCATGATAACAAAAAAATATTCTTTTATCATATTGTTAGTCTAATTTTTTTTTCTAATAAAAAAAGGCATTTGTAAATGCAATAACCTTGTACTGTAATATATTAGAATGGCAATCTTAAAACCAAGTCTCATTCAAAGTTAAAGGAAATATTACCAAACTAAAGTTTACTCTATAACTGATAAAAATGCCATACAATTTCTATATAAAATACAAGAAAAAATTACATCATATAAATAAAGCTGACAAAAAACTGACATCTGTTATAAATAATTTATATGAGTATAATGACGATGACATAATAATGATCATTAATAAAACGACTATAGAAGCAAATCACCTATGTACTATCTGATATTGCCACAACTTGCATATAATTTTCTAAAATGAAATTATCTGAATTGTAAGAATTCATACATATACTAAAACCAGTACTTGTATTAAAATCATAAAGACAAGCATAAAATTTAAAAATCTTTTTGCAACATCTGAATGCAATATAACTATCATATGTAATATGTAACATTACGTAAGGACTAGCAAACACAAGCAGTTCGGAAAATTGCACTTTTCACCTAAGATAAATATTTTTTTGTATTACACTTGCAAATTGATTCCTACAGTATTGTAGTAGTAATAATATCTGATAATATTTGCAATGTCACAGCTTCAGTTGATTCAGAGTCAAATCTAAAGATTGATAATCTGTTTACTCTGTTATCAGTACATGCTAAAAGAAAAATAGAAATAAATCTAAAAACAAGAAAACTAATTTCTCATAAAGAAAAAGGTTCATGTCATATAGAGAAAAAGCTACTCTACCTTCAGATGAAAAAATTGCTAATTTCTGATAAAGAAAATGCTATTATCATACAAAGACAAAGCTATTTTCACATAAATAAAAGATTAATTCCTGAAAGAATAAACGAAAGAGATTCTATAGCGACCCCCTGAAATGGCACGGGGATAATGGGAACTGGTTGTACTTCCATACTTGGCTATGGAAAGTAGATTAAAAAACATTTTCTCGGAGAGTCAACAAATTAAAAAATCTTACTAGGAAACCTGATTTGGAAACTTCAGTCTCTGAGTAGGAATGTCTTGAATACTAAATACTAAATACTAAAAAAAAATTGATAAATAAATAATAAATAAAAAGTAAAGAATAAAAAATTAAATAGATGAAAAAATTGATAAAAAAAAGTGAAAGCAAACAGCTAAATTATACTTATGAAGGAAAGAAAAGTATTAGTATATAAAAATATGAATCTATAGCTTCTTACAAGACTGTCAAGTCATCAAGCTCCCCATCCCTGGCGCCTCTAGTAAAGGTGTGCTAGTAGTTGTTTTAGATGTCAATTGGGGACCTGCATCTGGTGGTGACAGATTCACTGCCTGGAGCAAGGAAGCTGAAGGTACAACTGACTGCTTTGATGTTTCTTCTTCAGTGCTAGCTGCTTTTTGGGCCATGAAGTAGCGGCATGTGAAGCAGTTTACCAAGAAGCCTACAAAACGGCTTACTAAACCTGTAAAGAAAATTGAACTCTTTTGCAAATGAGGTAATAAGAGCATGCTGGATCAGGTACAAGATCTAACCCAATTGACTTGGATGGCAAGAATACACGCTTTAACCACTGTAATATAAGTTCATTTATTGTATTTACAAGTGCTCTACAAGTGCTTAGTCACCAAGGAGTCAGGTAATAGTCCTACCTATCTCACCTGTTTATCCTTTTCCCTGATTTTCAGAAAGTTTCTTTTGTATTATTTCACAGTCTTTAATGTTACCAAGGTTTCAATAACAATTTAATAATCATAATATCAGTGAGAATAATAACAGTATTGATATCAATAGTATTAGAAAGAAAAATACATTTTCCCGCAATTTCAAGGAATGGAGAAATCAGGAGCAGTCACTTGGACATAATGATATGACTCCTGGATGGCTGAGCAAATGTGGAAACACCTGTATGTAATAAATTCACAAAAAATCTGTAGTCCTTGGATTAAAAGGTATTATATTCATGGGAAGATGCTTCTGAAATAGAACAGGGCCTAAAAAAAGAAGATTTTGTACCTAGTTCCACTTTGTATCTTAATAATTCACACCTAAAAAAAGAAAACTAACAATTTTGAATACAATTTTAATTTCCTACCAGTGTTGTGTTAACTGTGCTGATTAGGGAAAGGTTTTCATACAATATGCAAAGAAATCTGGATTGGAGAAAAAGTTTTCCTAAAGCTGCAGAAAATTCATTCATATAACAGGTCAAGAGTATTATAATAAATTCTGTCAAAAAATTTTATTACACCAAAACCTCACAGGAAATTTTTTTGTACACTTGAAATTTTGCAATAACAACCATACCAAATCATAAAAAAATTATACAAATTCTGAATAGTTAAACACAAATATGCTGATGTTATGTACAGCATCCACCTACACATGCATATCCACTCACACAAAGATACATATGCACATGCACATGGAAATACATACCCAACACCTATGCCCATCTACAAACATATGCACACACATCATCCCACCCCTACACAAACATACATATATACATACACCAGACACACACACACACACACACACACACACACACACACACACACACACACACACACACACACACACACACACACACACACACACACACACACACACAACACACACACACACACAACACACACAACACACACCCACACACACGCACGCACTCACGCACGCACACGCACACATACACATTTCTATTCTTAGAACAGGTAATGATATATGAGAAGTCATCTACCCTAAATTAACTCATAAACATCAATCATCACTAAATAAGTGTCAATGACCTATCACGTGAACAGAACTTTTTCTCACCCATACTTCTGTAATGAGAAAGAAAATTATCTATTTATGGTGATGTGAAATTACCACATTACTTTCTGGAGTAATGAATAAAAATACTTTAAAAAAATACTGTTTACTTAAACTCTAAAAAAATAATGATTGATGATAATGATGATAATTGAGAATAATTATAATAATAGTTTAAAACAACAGTAATAATAATGATGAGGATAATGATGATAATGATAATAATAATAATAATAATAATAATAATAATTAGTATCATCATTATCATTATTATAACCATTATCATAAAAAAACCACATCAACAGCAATAATAATAAAAACCACAACAATAACAACAACAGCAACAATAATAATAATAATAATAATAATAATAATAATAATGATAATAATAATAGTAATAACTATAATAATAATAATGATGATGATAACAATAACGATAATGATAATGATGATAATAATAATAATAATAATGATAATAATAATAATAATAATAATAATAATAATAATAATAATAGTAGTAATAATAATAATAATAATAATAATAATAATAGTAATAATAATAATAGTAATAATAACAACAATATAATGACAAAAATACTACTATTATCATTACTATCATACATACTTACAAAGCCATCACAAGACTTACCAGAGCATGTAAAAATTCCCCCAACAATGCCACACAATCTTGTCAAGAATTCAAGGAAAGGTTCGTGCCGTTCCACGACCTCCACTTTCAAAGCCGAGACGTCATATTTGAAGAAAATGCCTGGCGTGCCGTGTGAATTCTGGGGGCGAGGGAAAGATTGGTGAATGTTTTACGTATCTATCTGTAAACACATTTAATTTTCTTATAAAAATTCTCTTGATACACTGCAAATTATATCAAATTGAAACAAAGCTAATTCTAAGTCTGGATTTGCAGTATGAAAGTGTTAGAAGTTACCACTGTCATATAGAGCTATCTGCATATCACTGGTGAATGTTTGAGTAACACCAACAAGAACAGCACCAAACCAAGGCTGGAACCAGACATATTCTGATTTTTAAGTCTTTGAACAATTGATATGTGAGGCAAGCTGTGTGAATGCTTTCATAAATTTATGAAAGAATGTATTGGATGTCTCCATTCACATTTTACATCACTCTACCTGTTTTAGGCCTATTTACATAAGAACATGTCAGAATCCATGTAGTGGCACTGTCCTGCCCCTGCCACTATATTAGAAGCTACTAAGGGGATATAGCTATAAACTAAGTGTGGAAGATATTAAATAAGGGTGCTGGTCTAGTGCAAATACTGTCTCAGGATGTGTAATGATTTCATCTATTATCATGTGGTGGTGTTTGAGTGACAATGAAAACCACTGTAGTGTATTATAGAAACAAAGAAAAACAAAGAATTCATGAACATATATATAGTTTCTGTTTCTTAACCACTTTAATCAATAATGATTAAAGATAAAACCAAACATAAACAACAATGGAAGTTCAGCTACTCTCTATACCCCCCAAGCACAATGGACATCCAGGCATTCAAATTTCCATAAACTGTCGTCATGCAAACATGACACAGTCACATACTCCACATTCCACCTATGGAGAATAATCGTAAGCAAACTATCTTATTTTGTTTGTGTTTATTATTTTCCCCTTAGTTTTAGTATTATAATTTTGTGTTACCATTGTATCCTGCTTCTTATTTTCACTGTAAATATATATTTAGTATAAATGTACAGTTTTTACAAATGTTTTTCTTTCATATATGCAGATTCTGATGATGGACACAGTTGTTCATGTCCGAAAGCTCAAAATATTAAAATGTGCATGATGTGTTTTTTTTTGCTGTCCTAGTCCTCTTATTTACAATAAGAACACGTGGAACATCTATCGTGGAAATATATATATGTGTATGTATGTATATATATATATATATATATATATATATATATATATATATATATATATATATATATATATATATAAAATGATGATGTTCCCTAAAGGAAGGGCTCTTTCCTTTCTTTGTTGCCAGGTGACGCCGATTAGCGTGAAAACAAACCGCTCGAAAGCTGGTGTGCGGCTGTACGCTGCGGTGGCGTGCCAAAGCGCGGCGAGCCAGTGATTCGGGCTGATATCCCCTACTCACACGCTCAATGTCGGTGCGCGGCCTTTGTTTGCTAGAGCGTAGAGTTTTTTTTGTTTTGTTTTGTACACCCGGCGTCATTGGGTTAAACAGCATCTATATCACTGGGGTGTAACAAGGTGTAGGCATTGAACAGCATCTGTATCAGTGAAATGCTTAATGTATTAATCCCTAAATTCCTATTCACCATAATCATGACTAACTGTAGCCACCCACATTGGCTAAGATCATGCACAGACTGTCAAAACTGGTGAACTTTTTGGTGCACATTTTTTATTGTCACTGAGACATGTAGTTGTCCATATTTGATACCGTTTAACAAGCTTCCCTCAGCCACACTCAGGATATCACGTTACCTGCCTCTTTCTACTTATGAATAGAATGGAATGTGTGTGAAGTAATTCTGGTACTGTACCCTCATTTCCCTTTCACAAACTATGCTATTCATATTAGTTACCTCCTAGTATATCATTGTCTTTTTTAATATTTGCACTTCTAAATACACATCCTATTGCTTATATAAAAGTGTTTTTTTCCCTTAACCTGTTGGATCTGGGTGCCTTGTAGTCCCACATGTGCCCAAAAATCCGGGCACTGGGTTTACTTGAGGAACAACTTTCTTGGGTGTGTGGCTTGTAGCCTGGCCCAAACAAACATGCATCTGTGGCATCAAGACTCCTTGCCTCCCTTTTGCAATGCTATTATCTTTTTTTCTGCACATAAGCATTTTCCATGGTCTATATTCGCCATTTGTTATGCTGTTTCAAGTTGGCAATAGACTGTTATCCTTGTATTATTTTTAAATAGTTTTGTATTATTCAATTTTCCGTAATACAACCTGGGCTACCCATCATGGAATAGGATCCTGAACATGGAAATAGTGTATTTCCTGGAGACAGCACTCTCCTAGCCATACCCAATGAGTCTAATCTTCCCCCAAGAGCTTTATGGACACAAGGTGAGTCATTCCCATCACCTTGGCCAAATTTGTCATGATCACATTTTTCCATGACGTGATGGTTACCTAACTTGATCCAGTGGGTTAAAATGTGTTATATTTGTATATTTACAATAAGTTATTCTTTTTTTCCTTCATATGCAAAGGATAACTTAACTTTTTCAAGTTTAACACTCCATTGTGCTGATATATGACAATGAAATATACACTTTTTGAGGTATTGGCATGTGGGAAAACATAGGGTACTTTAGTGTTCAGCAATTATCAAGCACCACACTATATAACATTACAGATACTAGTGAAAGACAAGCTCCTTATGTAGATCCTACAGCACTTACTATGAAGTACCAAAACAACAGAATGGAAAAGTATTGATACATTGTTTGCTTGATAAATGAGACATACTTATGCAGGTGTATTATGTGACCCTAAAGCATTACATACAGCATTTGTTGTAATGAGGTATGATTGCTACCCAGGTCAATTCTTTTTTATATGTCTAAGACAGTTTTTGAGTATGTGGTATACAAGCCTAAAGATGATAATTGTTTATCTAATAGATTTGAACTATGTGCACACTCTATTGATAATCAATTCCAGAAAAAAAAGGTTATGAATTACATATAAAGGTGAAGACTCTCTAAAGACGAAGAAGGGTATCATTACCTTTTCATGGGATATTTCACGGTGCTGTTCTGCGACTGAGTATTGAAAGGTTGTCCCACGGTGGCTGTACGTATCAACCTTGGTCGGCACAACCATAATGAAGTACTGGTAGGTTAAAAAGTCTGCAATAAAATAAAATATATTGATTATTTCTTTCAACTACATATGTATGACACACCTAAGACCAATCAGCTAAATATTTCCTAAAATTACATATTTATAATTACAATCTGTAGTCTATACATACCACTTCATTGCATATATATGGAGGCATTAAATATTTCAAGTCTTCTTTTCTAGTCTCGTTAACCTAGACCAAATTTCTTGCCAAATTCAAAGCAGACTCATGCCAACAGGATGAGAAGTGTTCAAAATAACTTTCTGATATCCCCCTTTAATCCAAGGGATATATTAGATTAAAGGGAGCATGTGCAAAGTGTAATATTCCTAAGAAAGAAATATTTCAATCAGCATTAAAGATATGTACAGAAAATAAATATTCAAAATGGCTGCTTCACAGTAACCTGAATAACAGTAAAAGAAAAGCATAAAAGTGATAGCAAAGGGAAATGTCAGGAGAGAGAGTGAAAAAAGTGAAAGTGATAGCAAAAATAAGAGAAATATCATAAATAAAAGAGAGAGAAA